ACTCTTCTCCCTCTTTCCTCCCACTTCTCCACTCCCCAAACCCCTCTTCAGGCATCTGGTGTTCAGAACTTTGACCTCAACATTCTTACAGTTAAACAGGAAGCTACTGGCAGTATGGGAGACGATGAGGACAAACATTCTTGCGCACAATTTTACATCTTAACTGCCAAGACTTTATGTTACAAACTAAAGTCTACATATGTGTGTTCTCTTTAGAAACTTTTGACCAACACTCTTGTGAACCGTCCCCGCTCCTTTAGGACAAACAATGTGACAGGGAAGTCTGTTAGGTCACTGAAGGAAGACTGAGGAAATTTTGTGTCAACGTGGACATATCAAAGTAATCAGAACTCCCTGGGTTCTGCTATAAGTAAAAAAACAAACAAGCAACTATTCTCTGTAGGACTGGCAGTAACATTTCACATGATTCGAGAAATTTTGAGTTCCCTCTCCCACCATTTCCTTCTGTGTTCAAATTATAAGTTGGAAGGAAGAAATAGCTTCTATCCAGGCAACTGAAAACAGCCAATGTAATAACACTATATAGGTTCTATGTCGGTTATCGATTTCGAGTTTACCTAACAACCCCTAAAATCTTTGCAGCAGAACTGTTCAGAGTATCATCTGTCTTAACAGGTGGAAACAAGGGTATCGCTGGGCCCTACCTGATTCCTTCACTAAGAACCAAAAGGCTAGGTAAGGACAGGGAGATGGGATGGAACCTTGGAAGTTGGGATGTTAAAGTTTTCACTGAGAAAAAAGGAGAGAATATACCCACAATTCTTCCAGGAGACACCAAAGAGAGCCAGGAACAGGAAGGACCAACTGTAGTGTCTCAGGCTGAATGGGGATGGAAGAAAGAACTGGGTAGTTGGGTACTGAACAGGGAAAGAAACTGGCCAGACATGACGGGGGAAAAATAAAGGTTCGGGATGCCAGAAAGAAGGCCAGGAGGAGTCTGAGGTGGTGCCCATCTAGGGGGTCCTGGGGTCAGCAGAGCCCAGAGGTGTGACTGAGATCAGCGAACCCCTGCCACTCCTTACCTTTGGGCGTTTGCTGGTTACTGAGGCGCAGCACAGGGTGGCATTTGCAGAACAGGAGACCCAAGTCCTCACGTGCCCAGGCAGCTTGAGTCACCTCACAGGCATCAGACTCAGGGTGCGGATTCACCCACTCCAAGCTCTGGCCCACCTTGGGGCTGGCATTGGGCTTCAGGCAGCAGCTGAGTTTGTTCCCCATGAGGAACCTGTACTCACGCTGCTGTCACTGCCTTCGCTCAACAGTCTCCCTAACCACCCCCCGCCCCGCCCAACCCCCAAAAGGGCAAACCCAGGGGCCCCTGCCGCCCCCGCCCAGCTGTGAGCTGCTGCCGCCTCCACAGAGTTGACTAGTCTGTGAGGACAGCCAGCAGTCTCACGTATTTAAGCTGATCAGGCAACTGCTGAGAATCACAACCACTGCAAGAAGAGAGCACAGCCGAAGCTCCAGCGCCTGCCACAGCTGCTTCTCAACTGAAGGCAGGGCTCCTGGCCGGCCCCAGCCAACCAGAACACATTCTGTGGTCACCTGGTTACGAGGGACCAATCAGGGCAGCCTCCCTCCGCGTGCCCACCTGGCAGGGAAGGCAGTGGGTCAGAATGCTGGTCCTCCCTGCCCTGCAGCCCCTCTATCCCCTCTCCCAGCGCACACATGTGGCCCAGCCTCGGGCTCCCAACAGCATTTCCTAAACACACTCAAAGGTTGTCAGGAGGGCAGGAAACCTACAAATGCCCTTGGCGATGGCAAAGAAGTGAATACATTTTTCCGTTACTGTACACGTTTTGGAGAAAAACAGAAAAAAATCAAGAAGAAAAAGACGTGTACAGTAATTGCAAAATGTACAGACATTTACAAACCCTTCAATCAAATAGTTGCCCCCCCAAAGGACCAGAGGGAGTGTTTTCCTTTATTAAAAGAATAGGAGAGAAAGGTCACCTCAAAAAATCGGGGAAACAGAGATTATTAATATTCAACAGTATAAGAGATATAAGTCTGGTGACAAGAATGAGCAAGATATTAGCATGTGGAGACCACAGTGGAATGGGAAATGACCTGATGAACTTCAGTTTCTTTTAAATAGCATCTAGTTACATCCTTAGAATCTGGATGTAACTGGATGCTATTAATAATATTATTGTCTAAAGTCCTAGGAATGTCATTAGATAGCATTTTGGATGGCTCTTGGAAGCTTGAGACAACACTGAAGATTATGTTGTAAACAGTGCCTGCACTTAACGACAGAGACGCACACAACAAAACCCAGACTTCAATCCCCAGACATTTAAGGTTTTCCCTCCAGGCCCCAGAAACCTAAGAACAGGTGCTCTTTCTGCAGACTGTGCACCTCCTCCCGCTCTCCCTTCCCAGGATCAGCAAGGAGAAAGCCTGTGACAGAGGGCATAAGCCTGTCCCTACAGCACCTGGAGCCCACTCTCCCCACCCCCTTCTACTTTTCTGACAGCGCCCCAAACACTGCTGCCAGATCCCAGGGAGCCAGGGCCTGGCGCTCAGGGTAAGGCGTCCAGTTGCCATAGTGTCTGGGGCTTCTCCAGGACAGGCAGGCTCCATGGATGCAGGTGGACTCAGACCTGGGAAGGAGGGAGCCGCCGCCCGCCTTCCATCTCCCCACCTCCACCCAGGAGAGGGGGTGTCCATGGAATCCGCTTGTGGGCTGGAGAAAAGGGCTCATCACTGCCACATCCGCATCTGCCAGACTCCTCCCATTGTGCATAGCACCCCGCAGAGCCTAGCCCAGCAGCAAAGCGCCCAGCCAGGAGTCAGCAGCTTGGACCCTGCCACCTCCCAGAGAACATGCCCGGCCTCCAGGGCCAGGGTCTGCAGCCTTCCCTGAATTCTGAATCCACAAGGACCAGACGCCCTGAGCCTAGGACCCCCTTCCCCAGGGAGGACTCAGTGTAACCCGCGCTGGTCTTCCCACAGCACAAGGCAGACTGGGCAGGGGCACAGCACCCCAGGAAGGCAGGCAAGTGCTGGCTGGGGGACTGGGCAGCCTCGGGGAGCCTGGCTGGCAGGTGGGGACACAGCTGTGCCTGAGCGGGAAGGCAGGTGAGTGCACACCCGGTGGGCAGGCCCAGCCTGACAGGGCCCCTGTGCTCTCTGGAGGCTGGAGCTGACCATCCCATCTCCTCAGTAAGAACCACGCTCCCATTTCCTGCGGACGGGACTGGAAATCTCCACGTGAGACCTGGACGCCCTGGTTCTCCCTCCGTGTGGGGTTTGACCAGCTTTCCAGCAGACTTTGGCAGACATAATCCTCAAAATTCGTTTTCTTGAATCTAGATTCACCCAGGAAAATTTGCTGCATGCTGCATGGCCCTTTCCGCTGTTTCTCTTCCCTAACCCCTTACCTGTCCACCAGGTTGGCTCAAGCCCGCCACACCGCGCAAGCCTTTCCCACCCTCGCCGCCAGCCCCCAGAAAGGGGAGAACCAAGATGGCGGCGTAGGGAGTGGACCTGTGCGTGCTGCTCTCTCACAGCATCATTGAAACTATCAACTATGAGGTAAACAACCACCACTCAGAACCATGGGGAAGCTGGCCCAGTGGGAGATCTACAACTGGAAGAAAAGAAAGAAGTGTAGTGAGACTGAGTGGGAGCTACGGAGGCACCAAAACCAGAGGTACGCAATCACACGCCAGGCGGGCTGCAAATGGATTCGCGGTTTTTTTTCAATTGGAAGCAGTTACGAACCCTCGAATCCTCTGGGCTTGCTCGGGGCAGGTCTCTGAGGCTCCAGATCCCACAGGGAGAGGTGGCCATGGCCTTGCAGTGGTCGGAGAGCGAGGGAAGCTCTGATGCGCGGCTGCTCGCTGGCACTGAGGGACAAGAAGTCCTGGTGTCCCGGGGAGGCGAGGGGCGCGGAGACACCGCCATCGCTATTTCCTCTGCGCTGGCGACTCCCTTAGACCCCGCCCTATCCTCCGGGCTGTGCCAGAGGCACAAGAAGGAATGACTGTGCTTTTACAAACTCTCAAATCCACTGAGCCGGTTCGGGCGGGTCTCTGAGGCCCCAGGCCCCAAGGCGAGAGACGGCACGGCCTTCTAGCAGTCAGAAAGCGAGGGAGGCTCTGGTGCGCGGCTGCTCGCCAGCACTGGGGAACGCAAAGTCCTGGTGTCCTGGATAGGCAAGGGGCTGCTGAGTCTCTGCCCCGGCGACTCCCTGTGACCCGCCCTACGCAATTTACATTCCCATCTGGGCTGTGCCAGACTCACAAGTAGAAACGCCTTTGCTTTTGCAAACTTTCAAATCCACTGAGCTGGTTCGGGCGGGATCATGAGGCACCAGACCCTACGGGGAGAGGCAGCACGGCCTTGCAGCCATCAGAAAGCGAGGGAGACTCTGTCGCACAGCTGCTCGCCGGCACTGGGGGACACAAAGCCCTGGCAGAGATTCAAGGGGCCGCGGAGACTCAGCCAGTGCTATTTGCTCTGCCATGGCGACTCCCTGAGACCCAGCCCTAATCAATTTACATCCCCATCCAAGCTGTGCCATGTGCACAAAAAGACCTACCTGCGCTTTTGCAGCCTATCCCAACAAATTGCAGACTTCAACTGCTCGCAGCCATGGGAGACACACTCAAGAAGCAGACCAAGGAGAACCAGGATGGCGGCATAAGGAAGAGACCTGTGCGTGCTACCTCACACAACAACATCGGAACTACCAAATATCAGACAAACACTTATCATACAGAACCATGGAAAAGTTGGCCCAGTGGAAGCTCTACAACTGGAAGGAGAGAAAGAACATTGAGACTGAGTAGGATGTGCAGAGACACCAAGTACAGAGCCCAACCCAACAAACTGCAGATTTCAACTCCTCGCATAGAAAGAAGCGCATTGAGACTGAGTAAGATGTGCAGAGGCACCAAGTACAGAGCCGTTTCAACCTCACAGCAGGCTGCAGATTTCAGTTCCTTGCATCTGCGAGGGACGCAATCGGGGGGCGGAGTTGGGTCCAGGGCAGGCCGGGGCTGGGTCTGACTGGGCCGGCACTGTGGAACCACTGTACCAGCAAGCGCACAAACATGCCCACTGGTTCCAGTCTCTCGTGGGGCGCTGGGGGACAGCAGACAGGCAGTCTGTTCACTTGTTGGAGGGCAGGAGTGATGGATGTTCAGCCACCAGGAACGCCTGGAGATTTTGTCTGGTGGGGAGCCGCCAGCAGGGGACAGAGGGCCAAACTTCCTGTTTCCCCGGTAAGGCTGGGATGGCCCCGGTGAGGTCGAGACAGCCCCGGTGAGAACAATACGGCCCCGGTGAGGTCGGGATGGCCCTGGTGAGGTTGAAACGGCCCCGGTGAGGTAGGAACGGCCCCGGTGAGGTTGAAACGGCCCCGGTATGGTCGGGACAGCCCTGGTGAGATCAGGACGGCCCCTGTGAGGTTGTAACGGCCCCCGTGAGGTAGGGACGACCCCGGTGAGGTTGAAACGGCCCCCATGAGGTAGGGATAGCCCCGGTCAGGTTGAAACGGCCCCGGTGTGGTAGGGAGGACCCTGGTGAGGTTGAAACGGCCCTAGTGAGATCAGGATGGCCCCGGTGATGTTGAAACGGCCCCCGTGAGGTAGGGACGACCCCGGTCAGGTTGAAATGGCCCCAGTGAGGTTGAAACGGCCCCTGTGAGGTCTAGACTGCCCCGGTGAGGTTGAAACGGCCCCGGTGTGGTAGGGACAACACCGGTGAGGTTGGAAACGACCCCGGTGGAGGTATAAACTGCCCCGGGGAGGTTGAACGGCCCCGGGGAGGTAGGAAACAACACGGGTGTGGTTGAAAGTGCCATGGTGAGGTCGGAAGCCTCCTGTGAGGTTGAAACGGGCCCGGGGATGTGAAAGGGGCAGGTGAGGTTGGATAAGGCCCCCGGTGAGGTATGATAGGCCCCAGGAGAGTTTTGGAT